AAAGGCTCAGAGTTCAGTTCCTGCACCTACTAATATTTCCCTTCCTGTCTCTGAAAAAGCTCTGAAATTACTACTACTATGGACATTTTACAAAGCCAATAACAGTCAGATATTCAATTAAGGTGAAGCAGTTTTATGAAACTTTTGAATGCTTCTCCTGTAATGCGAAGGCACTGTAAAGATAAAAAAAAAAAAAAGGGAAAGATATTTTTACCTTAAAATATGTGCAACAACTGCAGGCCCATACCAATCTCCAGCAATTTTTCCAGATTTCTTTCCATATTCTATTAGCTGATGTAAGCCAAAAGCTGCCAGTGGAGAGTCACCAAACCAAGAAATTATTTTTCTATGATAAACCTCATTTCTCATTTCATTGTCACCACAGTTCCCCTTTAGTGTTCTCTTATGATGGTTTGACAAAATCTTGGCTTCTCTTTCCGCTGTAAGTGATGCTTCAAACGATGCAGTCAGCTTTTTCACTGTATGGGTTGTCCATGATTCAGAATCTGAATTTTCAATGTCCAGTGCATCTGGCCAGATCCAGGCTGCAGCAAAAAAATTTAACGTGCATGTTAGGCTTAATGTTAACTTTTGGTATAATTAGCAAACCACATCCATTTCCTTTGCCCCCTCTCCCCCAAATAATATGTGCTTTACATACTGCGATGCGAATGTCAATATTAAAATGTAAACAAAGAGCACTTATTCAACTGCAGTATGGCTTGATTTTATTTTCTGCTGAGTGACAGTAGAACAGTACACTTTGTTAGCCATTTGTCCTATCTGAGATAGTAGATCACTCAGTTAAGATATACAAGATAGATCTGATTACAGGACACAGATTAGAAGCATCGTATATATTAGAAGTACAGAAAAATAGCTATTAAGTACTAGCTAAAAAGCTTTATCTAAGTTAAACAATAAGTTTCAGTAGCTGTTTTCTATTCTTCTGGTTTGTCAGTTATTAAGAAAAAAAACAACCTTGGGGGAAAACATTCATGTAAAAAAAAAAAAAACCACTTCTTCCTAGCAAAATGTAAAACAATAGACATCAGTCAAAGCAGATCAGCAGAAAAATACACGATTTCTTTATTTACTACATTTGTGAATTCTTAGGTTTACCTAGATTTCAAGACAGACTTGTTTAATAATTAAGTTTTTCAGTATAATATCTACAGTCTGTGTTTCTAGCAGTAGGTTTCTCTAACAATACACTCTACAGGCAGTGTTGCTATTAATATTGTAACAGTGGTTCAGCCTATCTAGAGAACAGTAACGCTTCCCTCGTCAGATGACTGAGCCTCTCCCACAACTTTGAGGAACTCCTTGTAACAGAGAGTACGTGAGGAAATCTCCAAACCACCATGAATGTCCTGCTAGACCAGAAAATATTCTGAAGGTCTATAACGAGCATCCCAGAACACGACGGGGAAGGCAGCCACTCGCAGCAGTAAAGAACAAACCCTGAGGATGAGGTGCTTTTTTTTGCTCAGCGAGCCCGGTTTCTGTATGCTGCTGGTGGCTCAGCTAGTTGCAGTTACAGCAGCAAGACGAAAATATTCACAACAAATACTGGCAGAGCAAGAGCTGCAATCCTCCCTGCAATTCTTGCTGAAGCGTCCAAGTAAAAGTCTTTGACTGAGAAACAAAGTGGAGGCACAGAGGCAGCAGCACTATAATTCTGAAATCTAACTCAGGGTTCCAGTTATGTCCCAGGTGCTGCTGGTGATGGCCCCAATCCATCTCCCCCACTATTTGTTATTTGCTGCCGAAGAGTAAGAGCCCCAGGCAGACGCACACATACGCTCAACAGAACATCATGGGCCTCGCTGTTCCTGTATTGTGACTATCACATTTAAGGCCACGTTTTTAGCACAGTAAAACTTACCAGTGCCTTAACATTTAAAATGAAAACTTACTTACAACATCATTCTGCAATATCTGGAATATTTCACATAGTAGTGGAACTGTAAGCATTCTAGCTAGAAACTGCAGTCAGTTTGTTTCTTTGTACCAGAAACAATACCATTAAACTAAATGGAAACATCTCTGGGAAAAGAATAAGCAGCAATGAAAAAATTCATGTAAACACTTAAATATGTTTAAGAAGTTACCCAAATCTCATAAAAAGCTTTTCAAAAGATAATTCACCAGCTGTCGGGTGATGAGAAAAGTAATCCAGAAAGACCACACATATTCTGTTTTTCTACACATCTGGATTCCCACAGAAATACTAGCCAAATGGATTTGGAATCACCAAATCACTTTCCAAATTAGGTGCATGGGGGACAGTGCAAGAAAGTCTTTTTAACCATAGAGTTTAAAGATACAAACTTGGGATTTTTTTTATTTTGGGTTACCTTAAAACAGGTCATTATGCATTCCTACTTACATGTACTCTTCTAGTCAGATTTTTTTATTTTTTTACGTGTGGGTATAACAAAAGTTATCTTTAAGGGCTTTGTCCTCTCAGCAGAGGTGTTCTTGTACGTTTTGGTATTTGCAGTCAGGTGAAAAGGAATAAAGTTAGGTTTTATGACTTAAATATCTATAGCAAAAAGAATATTCAATAAGCCAATTCGACAGTTCAGCCATGACACTGCCAAGAAAGATGATGTGATGCAGCTGGCTTGGGATTCTGTTCACAGCTTACATCACATTGACACAACAGTTAAGTGCAAAGTATTATCAAAACAGGCTTTCAGAACTATCTGCTACTAACGTAATCCTGGGGGCCACCAAACGGCTGAGTAAACAATACACTGTATTCTCTCCGACGGGCACACCAGGGTGGCTTCAGGCCCGCAGCTCGGAACATCTCTGAAAAAAGCCATGGTGACAGAGGGAAGGAACGATTGTTTGAAAGGGGCAATGTGGTGGATTCTGAAAGTGATCGTGGAAAGAAGAAAAAAAAAGACGAAAAGGTGGTTAACTTAGAGAACCCAAATACCTCCATGCAGGACGTGACTCAGGCTTGAAAGAATGGGGAGGACACGCATGCTCAGCCTCTGAAAGCAGAACGTGTTCCAAGTCTCTTAAAAGCAACTCCTTTCATGTGACTGAAAGTATTTTCAGAGAGATGAAGAGAAGAAAAAAAGGGAAGTTCTTTAGTAAGTACACGAGGCAGGGGAGAAGGGAGGAAATGAACTAGTGAAAATTTCAACACAAAGAATGATGTATTGAAGTCAGATTAGAATCCTTCTATTAACTCAATATATTAATCCTAGAAGAAATTGAATAATGTACAACCTTAACACTGATAAAAGAACATCACTTCTGCCATAGCCCTTAGCTATGGACCGTGGAACTCATTTCTACATCTCGAGTTCAACAAATTAGCAAGATTCAAGAGAACTGGATATTTACATGGATAAGATGAATACTTAAGTATCGGATCATAAATTTTTGTGTTTTTTTACTTCACAATTAACTTCAGTGGTGTTTCCAGTATCTTCCTTTGCCACACCTTGGTATTTCCTTTCTCAGAAATAGAATAGTAGATTAGCTAGATCACTGCTCTGACGCCACATAACAATTCCAATACTAATGAAAAAGAATTCAGAACCAAAACCAGCTTGCACTTCAGATTCTGGCTACGTGAACAAAGACTGCCACTTTCTCCAAAATGATAATCATGGGCGATTATCATGCCAAATACAGACATCTTCATCTTGTGACTTACCTCTACCAAGAAAATGAAGCATAAGACCTTGAGCCAACAGCATTTGACCAGTTCTCAGTGTGCAACCCCAACCACAGTCTGTTGTTAATGCAGATCCCTTGATCTGAGGAAATTCTTCTCTGTAAGTCAGCCATATTCTAGAAATAAAATCTTTACGGAACTCCTCAACATTTCCTGAAATCTCTGTGTTGATATCATCAAAACTGGATCCATCTGTAGAAAGCTCACCAGATTCTGTAACGCAAAGCACAACGTAAGTTATACCTTGCTATGAAATTTTTGTTATTAGGAGGAAAATGAAGGTATGCTACTATTCTGTTAGAAAGATAGGGCAACCCTGCAAAAGGTAACGATCACTTCAAACACAAGAAGGGAAAATGAGAGGGCAAACATAATAAGAGGTGCGCTAGCTGAAACAAAGAATGATGCAGCCAGCAGGTTTCAAAGGAATTGCTGACTTGTTTCTGAGCAACTTAATTCAGCTAAATGTAAATGGTCAAACAGTGAAAGGCATTCAGAAGAATGGTTCTTAGAAAACAGCATAGTGGAAAATGACAATGAAGGTATCTGGTGTAGTGACTTTTTGTATAGGCATTGTCACGATTTCCTTGCTGAGGTTTTACGCAGAAAACCTCAATTTGCTCGGTAAATTAAGTAAAGTGCAAATTATAGGACTAATGTTTACAAAGAAGAACAAGACTGGATGCTGGTTTTGCACTGAATAATACAGGGTAGGATGGGTTACATTAATGCTGTTGGAAAGTCAAATGAGAATTTTGTAGGCTTTTCACGTTTACATTTTGAATTCAGTAATTGTTAATGAAGGTCTTTCTAAGAGGATTAGAAAGATATTCATAGAGGTCTTGCAGAAAAGACTGGAATGAGAAGAGTGCTATGTACATACCATCAGATTTGAAGTGGTAACATTTTCCTAGCAGAAAGACTGGAGAGTTTCTACTAAAGTAAGTTTTTGTTTTCAACACCCAACCTAAAATAGATACAAAACAAATGCAATTTGTGACTGAGGTATTCCAGAAAGGCGTTTCTAATAGCATCTCATTAAGCCAAAAACATCCCATAGAAGAGGAATGCAGAGAAAATGTACTGAAATTGGGTTTTTTGCTTTCAGAAATAATGAAAAGTTTAACAGCTCTAAAAACAGATTAGAGTTCTCTTTTAATAGTAATGTTACCCATGTATGAAAGTCTGAATGTTAATACAAGTCTAATACTGCATAGTTTAGAATTAAATTGTTAGGATACAGAAGTGCTAAAGCTGAGTTTAAGTTGCTGTGTCTCTGTATGTGAAATCATTACTGCATAGTTTGATTCTTTGAGGTTTGCAACTCCTGTAATATAGAATAAGCTTCCCATATGACCAGTGAAAATGTGTGAAGAATACTGCATGTCCTGTCGGATTAAACATATTTCTTCACAAAAATCAAATTATATATTTCAGACAAAAGGGATGCGGAAAATTACTACATGTATATGAAGTCAAGAAGTTAGTTTTACTTTTGGAAATATAACTTCTGCATACTGTTTCAAAAAAATGTCATGATATGTTGTATAAATGTGAACAGCCAGATTAATGTTATGTATTCAGTTTTTAGATTTTTGACAATGTGCCCAGACTTGAAAAAGTAGCGTTACTTAAATACTAAACTAGTAACTTTTGCACTTAAGTCTAAATCTTACGATATTTTTTTTATCCCGCCCCTAGCATTTTTTGAATTTTTCCTTCCACGTGTAGGGTGTAACAACTACTATTCCCCTTCAGCCACCTGGTAACCTTAAAGAAAATAGAAGAAAAGAATCTTTTCATCTTACTGGACATCTCCAAGATACAATTATGATAATTAACAAAATTTATCAGAAAAATAGTGATAAAACTGAACAACCTCCATCCTGGAGGAAAACCAGAAAAATTAAGGTTAAGGACAGATTAGGATTTTAAAGGATACAGTTGAAAACTTACTTTTTAAAAAACAAATCATTGATGTTGAATCGTGGAAAAATACGTTACTCAAGTGTGTGGAACTAGGTTCTTCAGTGGAGTTTGTACTGCAGGCATCATCTTACTTTTTCGCCCCAAGTAACTCCTTGCACAGGTGATCCCATATTGTCCCCGTTTAAAAGTCTATGCAAATCTAGCGTCCTCTGTACTTATCTGCACAACGTATTTCTTTTTAAGACAACAGTAACTTAAAAAAGAAACGATGTAAATTTACTTCAAAAACTAAGAGCTAAACAAGTGTGTCTACTCAACCTGTTTATCGTAACATCAAAGTAAAAATGGTTTCAAGGACCACATTGCATGGTATTACTACCATGCAATGGTAGTATTACTAACGTATTTATTTTTAACGTATTTAAATTATTTTATTTTCTGACTCATGATCCCATTCCTGTGAACAAGAAAAGTTCCATTCATTCCAATGGAGACAGGATTGTACCACATGCTTTCACTTACTGTATTTCATGTTGTGCCATGCAGACATAAACTTTGATTTTATCTTTTCTACTTCATCTGTCCCTGTGGCCTCCATATTCAAATTCTAGAGAAAAAGCCATCGCTGTCTTGTAAGACATTAAATTCTGCTACTGTAAAAACAAAAATATAAACATATCCATGGGCACAGAGAACACAGAGCATAACACCACCAGCACGCTTAGGTACTTAATCCTAACATGGCCAGAAACAGTAATAAACTTGCAGAATCCTCCATTTCTAGGGAGTGAAAAGCAATCACATGTTCTATGAATAAGTAATAAAAACATTTAATTCCAAATACACACCAATAAAATTACCATACAAAGCTAAATAAAATATAATGTTCTCCAATGGCTCTCTATTGCACAACAAACCGATCTAGAGCACGTAACCTGTGCTGGCATATGAGTACACTCATTCTAATTTACAGTGAAATGAATAGCTGTATTTCATTAAATAGAATAGACACTATTCTTTTCCATTACATGGAATAGAATAAGTACTTTTTTCCTCACATCTGGGGTTCTGAGCACCAAAAACCAGATCCTGCTTTTAAAAAAAGCATTTTTTTCAGATTTCTAATCAAGAATTTTCTAACCCAAAGCGTACAGATGTTGGAGAGATTGAAAGACACAGCTAGATGTTTTGCTGTACATGGACATGGCAGAAAACAGTTACTGAAAACGTGTGCAGTAACACGGACACCATTTTGTACAGAATTAACTTGTAAGAGGGATGACATCAACAAATGGGTAGAATACTGTCATAAATTCTGTGTTTACTTTATAACCCTTCTAATCAGCCCTTGCGGTGCAATAAAGGTTCTCTTCTGATTTGATCACATTTTCTACAGTAGTTCATCTGTATTACAAAAATGAGATTGGTAAAACGGTGGTATAAGCCACTGCAGCGCAGATTACTTTGTAAAAAAAGCTGCTTACAGATTGTTAAAATAGGGGGGCGTGGAAAAGCACATTTAGTCACTCTTTCTGAATTGCAGCACGAGGCAGACTTCAACTTAAAAGCACGTTAAACTCTTTATAATACAGAAGAATTACGTATTACCTTCCATATTTATCCGTGTTTTTAGGAAATATGAGGAGTCTAGACAGAACTCCCTTTATAGTCCATCTGTATCATTTAGCAAAGTGAAGCCTACTATTAATTAATAAAGCTGCCTTCACTTCATGTGTCCTGTCAATGGTTCACTTTAAAATAATTGAATAGGAGATTGCCTTGATGATACTTAGTAGACCAAACCCTTGAATAGCTAGCTGAAAAATTAAGAGCTCCTGTTTCAACAGTTAACTCTTCTGGGACATCAAAAATTGATAAATAGAGGTACATCACTGCAACCGTCACATATTTTTAGTGAAGTACTTACAACAACAGGTGATGAAGGGCATAAAAGCGAACCATCTCACGTAATTACCAACTCTGATCAGGAGCATACACCATCACTGATGCGGACCGTGTACCTTCCTTACTTTAGAAGGAGTAAAGTATGCTAGCCGGGGAGAAGCTAGAACCGTATCTACCTTTTCATGTGTTATTCTCCATTGAATCAGGATCAAAAACAGGGTGGAGACTAAACCATGTTACTTCTCGTTTCCTCTGGGAACCTAGTTTAAGTAATTAGGGAAACTAACCCTAACCCCTGCTGGTGCAATTCATAATGCTGACAGGCGAAAAGAGCGCGAAGATGTCTCGGCCTCCGTGTCTTCAGAGCCTGAAAATCACATAGATGCACTGTTTCTGGGATCTGCACGTAGCGCATGAAAAAACACAGTCTATTGCCAATCTTCTCTAGCCTGTTTCTTCTGCTACTCCACTGTACTACTTGATAAATGTTTGTCAGCTGCTTTTTTCACAGAAGAGGCAATAAAAGCGAGCTCACAAACACAAGGGAAGACTGATGTTTTTTACTAATGAAAATGATTAACACAGCAGCTACAACCCCATTTTGCTTAGCCTTGCATTACGTTGGGTTAAGAGAAAGACTCTTTAAGGTAAGGTTTTAATTTATTGCCTTTTTTTCCTCTTTTTTTTAGGGGAGAGAAGAAAAGACTACATGGACAGCTGTCACTGACGCCAGCTGACAAAGCTGGTAAGATTAACTTCTTCAAGAGGGGTGTTTGGTCCAGTTACTGCTCTTACGTGATCAGTCAGAGACAGTCATTTACGTAGAGGCTAGTGACTGCCTTAAAAGCCAATAACTGTAAAAGCTCCCTCTGGCTAAAATTAGGAATGAAACAAACTCTACTGTTCAGAGAAGCAGCTCATTTTCCTTTAAAGGACAACGGTCATCTCAGCACATTTTTCTTTCATCCCTTTACGTTTCTTCCCCAGTACTGTGCTAAGATGTGAAAAGGACTCCTAAGCAGAATACTAACACAAAACGGACCAATTTATTCCACAGGGAGAACACAGGCTCTTCTTCCCATTAGCATTAAGAACTTCTCAGTAATAGTTTCACTGAAATTAATGGAATAATACCAGCGGAAGGTCACTGTGAATACAGATTAAAGCCCAACGGGCACAATGCAACCCCTATTATTAAATCTGAGTCTAACGGTTTTACATTGAAGTCCTCTTATTTAAGAAGTTATCTAGAACGTACGTTATTACTATGGCGCTACTTTTCAGACTGGCAGGACAGGCCTCTGAACGCAAAACGAAGCCCCGTCGTCTCAGGGCCTCTACTTACCCAGTCTTTGAGAGGGGATGACTGCAGCAAGGTGATTGCTTTTTAGGGTTTTTCTTCCTCCCCCCCCCCAAGTTAATGAGAGGAGAGCAAGCTAATCCACTGATGCAACTCAACGAAAGGGATGAGTCAATTGTAAAAATGAGGACCCCTTCGCTTTTTTTTTTCTACCTGGAAAGAAATCGAGCTAGAAGCGAGGACGCTTAGCAAAATCCACGCGGAAGCCGCTGACAGAGCACGAACGCGGATCGCCAAGATGTCATTTTGCAGGAGTTACCTCTCCAGCTGCGGCCGCGCACCAAGACAGCCAGAAACGAGGTTCTGATAAAAACAAAGGGCAGGCGAAGAACAAAGGGCAGGTGGGGGGAAAAAACAGCTTTTTTGTGTGTGTTCGTTTCCTCTCTCTGTCTCTCCTGCGCTTAACTTAGGACGTTTCTGCC